GTACATGAATAAAAGGAGATGAATTTAAGAGGGGCATTTAACACACCTCGAGGAGACAACAATCCTTGAGGTCAACATATGGCTTTACAAGTGCATTCAAGTGAAATATGTGTCAATATGATTTCAGATTTATGCAAAAGTAAGGATCACAACATTTCTTTTAAAAGCTTCAAATCCTCCCCTCCCCCAACGGAATGAACCTTCACTAAGCAGTCACCACATATACAGAATCATAACTAGAGCATTGTTAGCGTCAGTCATCACATAAACAAAATCATAATTAGAGCACTGTCAGCGTCATGCAGTCATCACATATACAGAATCACAATTAAGAGCATTGTCAGCGTCAGTCATCACATAAACAGAATCATAATTAGAGCATTGTCAGCGTCAGTCATCACATAAACAGAATCATAATTAGAGCATTGTCAGCGTCAGTCATCACATATACAGAATCATAATTTAGAGCATTGTCAGCGTCAGTCATCACATAAACAGAATCATAATTAGAGCATTGTCAGCGTCAGTCATCACATAAACAGAATCATAATCAGAGCATTGTCAGCGTCAGTCATCACATATACAGAATCATAATTAAGAGCATTATCAGCGTCAGTCATCACATAAACAGAATCATAATTAGAGCATTGTCAGCGTCAGTCATCACATAAACAGGATCATAATTAGAGCATTTTCAGCGTCAGTAATCACATAAACAGAATCATAATTAAGAGCATTGTCAGCGTCAGTCATCACATAAACAGAATCATAATTAGAGCATTGTCAGCGTCAGTCATCACATAAACAGAATCATAATTAGAGCATTGTCAGCGTCAGTCATCACATATACAGAATCATAATTAGAGCATTGTCAGCGTCAGTCATCACATAAACAGAATCATAATTAGAGCATTGTCAGCGTCAGTCATCACATAAACAGAATCATAATTAGAGCATTGTCAGCGTCAGTCATCACATAAACAGAATCATAACCAGCGTCAGTCATCACATAAACAGAATCATAACTAGAGCATTGTCAGCGTCAGTCATCACATAAACAGAATCATAACTAGAGCATTGTCAGCGTCAGTCATCACATAAACAGAATCATAATTCTAATATGACGTGCTTCTTTCGCTTTGTAAACAACACCGTGATAAAATTCTCGATATATATACTTAGCGCAGACTCAGAGATGTGCATATTGGTGGCTGTTACTATTTACCTCCCTCTCAAATCCACATGTATCGTAACCTATGTGCAAACACTATGTCGATTTCGTTGTGTCCAAATTGAAATTGAAAAAGAAACTACATACCCGTTATTCCTATTATATTGCATAACAAAAAGAATTAATGCACAAGAGCTTAAAAAATGTATAAAATCAAAATAAAATAAAATTCCGCCAAATTTCATGAATGATCTTGGCGCATTAACGTCATGTCATAACATGACGTCATACGAATGAAAACTCTAAAGCTGAATGTTTTCCGTTGCGTATACGCCCTAAGTTTGGATAATATTGCATTAAAATGGAGTTTTGAGGTAAGTGTTGTTTCATTTTCTATTCCATTGCATTATTCGCACATTTGTGGATTTCAGCAAGTCAACATGGCGGCTCACTCCTTAGTTACGACATGTCAACTTCGGATTTGACAGTAAATAGTAGCCAACGAAAAATAAATGTTTGGGTTAAGAATTATGAGAATTGAACACATTTTTTCTACTGCTTATTTGAGAAATAATTCATGCAAGACTTAGATTTATATGAAATTTGTAGCTTTTATCTTACAGGGGGTAAAATAGAACAGCCATACACACGGCAATCTTACGTTCGCTTCACTTTTTAAATTACCGTATTTGTCCTATTAGAATCGAAATAATTCATGGAAGCCATAGATTTGTTGGACATTTACACATGACCTGTGCCGTGATATTCGTTAATTTTATCCCTCGCTAACGCTCAGGATAAAATTCGAATATCACGGCCAAGGCCATGTGTAAATGTCCAACAAATCATGGAATTGTATATTTAAAAGGAATGGAAACGCGGCTTGAGATCAATCGGGAAACCCGCAGAGCACCCGCAGAGCTATAATCCATGTCTGACTCGGTTGGAAGTATGATGAATAATATAAAGAATCATGACGTTGGTCCATTTCCTGTCATATAGATCGGTCTTTTAAATTCATGGGGTCATCTTGCTTGAGAAGATATAAAGGAGAGAGAAACCCAAAATCAAGAATAAACTTCCATTCCGTGAATAGTTAAGGACTTAGGTATCATTTTAATGCCTCATCGAACATACGTCTGTAATATTTTATTATGAAAATTCTTATTAAATAGACCTCGGTCTTGAAACTTGAGTGAGTTTTATCCAGATTACAAAACCAAAAAAAAAGTGTTTTGATTTTTGTTCTAAAAGCTCGGCAACTACGAAGTGCAAAACAAAATAGTTGATATCATTATGAAGCTGAAACCTTATTCTAGCATTTTGCCATTTTCTTAAGTTTCTGGTAACATTCCTGAATTTTCTACGATTTTTCGAAATTTCAGTTTGGAATTTCATTATTCTGTCAAAACACGTCTTTCAATCTGGGAGTGTAATACGATTTCTTCTAAATATTGAAAAGTAGAAAGAATAAAGTGAGAAAATGAGATATCATTTTAAAGAAGGAATATTTTCATACAGTTTGGTCTAAATTACGAATTCTAAATGATATTGGTACAATATAAATGATTTTATTTCGAAACATGTTGAAAATTTTAAGTAGTGCGTCAATAAATACACCAACATGCCGTATTCTGGTAAGGGTTAAACTTTCCTTGGCTTTCTGTACTTTTGTTATTTTAATTTTTATGATACCGCACAGCACTCCATATCTTTTAAGAAAGGTTAAACTAGTTACGCAGTGATTTATTTTATTGTAGCTAGCACTATCTAATATCCAAATTTAACAGCGCATACACGAAATAAACCAAAAGTTATGCTGTTACATATTTCTTTTATAACTAAAGTAATCCAGGTGAGCGTCCTGGTTCCTTAGACTTTCGTGGGGTTTTGTTTCTTCATGTTTTTATATAGAGTGTGCGTTCTATGTGAAGTTTTATTCTCTTTAAAATCTTACCATTGTCCAGAATTTGTTCTCACGCCAATAAAAGAAGGTGTGTTGAATAAAACACGTCAATTCCAATGCACTACAAAACCAATTTACTATAATAGATATAAGTGCAGATACAAGTAGTTAATATCGTGAAAAGAGAGTTAGGATTTAAGAGTGTTAATGATTTGGCAAGGTTTTCTCGGTTAATGAAAAGTTTTCGTTGACACAAGTATATCACTTCGTTGCAAAGTATCTAAGATCACACTCATCACTCAAGTGCCCCTCGTTTGTACAGAAGAAATATTGCGCAGTAAAACAATTGAAGAGTTAATTTCTTTAAGCCTTGTTGATCATGTTGTATCTCACAGTCTTTGTGTTCTGTCTTGTTGTTCATGGGACATTTATGAAATCCATTCAAAATGTCACATCCGAAGAGGCCAAATTGGAGATTTTAGAGCAGACTGTTGAGGCACTGCAAGTTCAGATGAGGAATCTGACACGTTCTATTCAGGATATTTCAAAAGGTAATATTTATCATAAATATTTCTTTTGGATTTTTTTGGGGTGCTTTTATTGAAGTATCAGATATATTACAGCTGGAAATCTCTTCTTTCCGATTTGATTACTTAATACTCTATTTTTTTTTTACTCGATCGAAAAAAAGCAGACTATAGAAAGACTCCAGAAAATAGCTAAAACCGCTATTCAGCTATTCAGTGAGGAATACTGGATGATTTTAGGCTAAACAATTAATCATATATTTTTTTCCAATCAATAGGGAGGCTACGCCCTCTACGTCACGCCCCCCCTAAATTTGCCACAGTTATGTACAGAAATACGGTTGCTTCAAGTGGAGGAAACTGGTTGATTTCCGAGTGAATTAAATTTTACATCATCAATTAAATAAGGAGTCTACATTTCCTATTTGATACGATATGCAATGCCGGGGGTTTGTAAAAGGCTGTCCTTGGCAGGGGATTGCTGCTTACAGAGCTATGGTAAAGTTGCGTCATCTCTGAAAGTTTCATAATTTGGTTGACTGTTTCACAGGAAGAGAACACGAATGTTTTACGCACATTAATGAAAACGTTAAACGCACAAAGGCGTGTTTATAATATTTGCTTACGTTCTATGATTCGTATCGCATTCGTTTTTAAGAGCAAGTTGCACTTATATGTAAAAACTTGTGAAAGGCTTATCATTTGGTAAAATATATGTAAGATTTGCGTTGCCTATTATAATGCTAAATATATGATATTTATAGATTATCGTTGATCATCTCAACTAGATTGATTTTCTCACTTGAGCCGGTACGGCGAAAGCGAGAAAAGCAATCGAGTTGAGATGACCAATGATAATCTGTTTATCGCCATTTTACCTATGACGACGTTGTTAATTTCATGACAACGGGCACGTGCGTTATTAGTTTCTAGCGATAATTTTCATATCATTCGACTCCGCTGAGAAAGAAAATTATCAGTCAGCAAGATCAAAGGAAAATTTCGTAAAATAGCGATAAATCTATATTACAGATAACCACGAATACCTTCCATATATTGTAGACACAAATCATTCTTCCGTGTTTTCCTTTGTATGACAATCGCCAAATGCGACTTAACACCTGCATTTTAGAAGGCGATGGTTGCAACTATTGGAGCAGAAACTGATTACACTTCCAAAACATCTAAATTCACTTTTGGTAAAATACTAATTTGCTCAATTTTATGTTTTCTTGGTAGTATTTGGGACTATTCTTTTTTTACCTATTCATCTAAAATAATTATTCATGCGGCTGTCATTTTCTTCCTCGATTAATGATTAAGAGTGCCTATAACATTTTTTTTAAGAATTTTATGTAAAATTATTTTTTATCTATTTTTCTTTTCTTTTTTGCAGATCAGAAAAAATACACAGACAACCACATTGTGTTTTATGCCCGGCTGTCCTCGTCAATTCACCTGAATGTATTCTCAATTGTAAAATTTAATGAGGTTGTTATCAACGAAGGAAATCATTATAACTCAGGAGATGGAATATTTGTAGCACCAGTCGCCGGAGTATATCAGTTCTCGTGGATGACATTGACGGATAGCTCAGATTATGTGTATACTGAACTGAGAGTAGATAATGTCGTTATTGATAAACTTGTTATTAACCTTGGTTCAGCTGCCGGTACGATTTCAGCAACTAGATTAACTGTCTGTAAAGTGGATAAGGGCGATCATGTTTGGATACAAACAACAGGAACTCACGGCAGTAATTAATTCTTGGTGAACTATGCACGAAGCTCCTTTATGGGACTGCTGTTGTTCGAAACATAACAACAACAACACGTTTTTAAGAGGGTTACACACTGTTTGTTATAAGAGATGAGATAAGATAAATTGTATTTCCAATAGAGGACCCGGCCATTATGGGCATAATCAGTACAGTGTTTTTTATATTAAACAATTGCAATAATTGTTATATATTGTTTCTGTTGCATTTGAATAGAAATTGATGCCTTCAAATCTTTAAATATAAAACAATTATCATTTTAATGCGGATATGTAATAAATCATTTTGCTGTATTATGTTTCCATGCTGGTTGATCCTCTCATGATAACTAAAATGACCAAAAGGGAGGTTAGTTTGGGTTGCGTCTGATTCTTCATTTTAATATTCTTTAATTCTATATGTTAGTTTTATCGTTTATAGATTTGCTTGCCCATCATTCTCTATTCTTTATATTTTAGCACATAAACCTTTTCTATTCTTAATTTTGTTAATTTTTATTATCTATTCTGTCAAACCCACCCGCAGATTCAAGTTATATATCGAAAGACGTCAAACAGAGAACTTTAAAAACAGATAAATACAAGAATTACCAAAGATAATTGACAGTAATACAGACCATACTAACCAACAACATGCACCATAATTCTCCGAGATAAAAGATTGTGTACCGGTGCTTGTGGTGCATGCCATATATGTTATTGTTGCCACATTGTCTATCATAAAATATCTTATCTTATCTTATCACACTCCTAAAAGATTTTCTAAAGACAAATCTTTATGGACTAGCGTGTTTATCATCTGGCAAGCTGGTAAGTTATAACAATGATTTGTGTCGATGGACGCAAAACCAATGAAAAAAAACCAGACACGCCTTTATTTAGTACTGTGTTACTTTTAACAGGGGTTTGTTTTAAAATGACTAGAAGACAAACAACAATAACAAAGTAGCAAACTTGAGCAACACAAATCTATAAACAGTACAAATGAAGAAAGGTTTAGATTTTGGATATTCTACCTTTAACCATAAAGTTTCTAATGTGTTTATTGATAAATCAGATCTATTTTTAACTGCAATAGAATCTTTGACATAAACCAATAGACCACCACCATCCTTACTCTGGCGATCTTTTCTGAAAATTTTGTATCCTGGCACTTTACATATATATATATATATAAGTATAGATTAAAATTGTACTTGTAGACAGTCTTTGATAATCTGTTACAGTTTTATACAAGAGTAAGTCCTTTGTTGTTAATAATAAAAACGGAACTATTAGCATGTTTTGGAAAATATCGACAATTTGCTTGATATTGACAAATCAAAAATTCAAGTCACATGGTAATTGTTGGGGATGCTAAAACCTTCGACATATTTTGTAAGTTTAAAAATGAATATACTGAAGACCTTTTTTGTGTGTTAACATTTCCGGTTGACTGGCTTATTTTATAGAATGTACAGCCTGTTTTATTTAAAATTTATTTTGATCATGATGCTGGTCTTAAAAAGATAACGAAAATTAAGCATATGTTCTTTTAACTGTTCTTGAACAGAACTCCAATCTAAAAAAAAAAAGAGTTCAGATGATCAAGTTCTTTGAACAAAGAGAGAGGGGAAACCAATGGCACTGCTATATCATCTCAGCAATTATATCACAAAAAACATAGATAATGATAATGAATATATGAAGCAGAAGAAAAACAACTGTGCATCTGAATTACCATCAGTATTACAAATATACGAAGGATACATTAACATCCCTTCTGTTATGGATAAATTTGACAAATTCTGTATGGAAAAAAAAAAGACAGTTCCTATTGTGGGATAATTTTATTCATATAGATTATTTCTCCTACATATCTTTATATATTGCTTTCTATAGTTCAAATTGGAATCTCATATTAGCATCACTTTAAAACCTCTCCCCTCTGTTCCATGCCTTTGGTCGGCATATGTACTTCAGAATAATTCCAAGACATCTGACTGTCAGATGTATAGCAGAATTTCCACACAACATTTAAACGTGCTTTCAAAGTGGGGGCTTTTCTGTCAGCGTAACAGGTAGGGCATGTCAGTTGCTTGCACTAGACGAGACTCATTAGTCTCTTATACACTGTGATGTTAAGGAATCTATTCGGGAACAATCTCTCTTCGAGAGAAGCTCTACTGTGATAGTCGAGTTTGGCATATTTATACACCTTTATTGCTAGGATTTCAAACTCCTGTGTATTGACCTACGACGATATAAATGGGGTCAGTAAATTCCATATGGGATGAGAGCGAAATTACAGTGCCTATAAGCGAAATTACAGTGCCTATAAGCGAAATTACAGTGCCTATAATCTTTTTTTTACAATTTATCATAAAATTATTTTCTATATATTTTTCTTTTCGTTTTTACAGATCAGAAAAAATACACAGATAACCACGTTGTGTTTTATGCACGGCTGTCATAACCAATTACCTTGAATACATACTCAATTGTAAAATTCAATGATATTGTAATCAACGTAGGAAATCACTACAACTCTGGAGATGGAATATTTGTAGCACCAGTCGCCGGAATATATCAGTTCACCTGGATGACATTGACGAGTAGTGCATATTATGTGTTTACTGAACTGAGAGTTAATAATGTCGTTATTGATAAACTTACTATTAGTCTTGGGTCAGCTGCCGGTACGATTCCAGCAACTAGAGTAACTGTCTGTAAAGTAGAGAAAGGAGACCATGTTTGGATACAAACAACAGGGGCCGGTAGCAAAAATTACTTCGCGATGAGCAGTGCCGCACATAGCTCCTTTATGGGACTTTTGTTGTTCGAAATATAAGGTTACACGCAGAGAATCATGCAATACTTCTATGTTTCATTCAGTTTATGATCTTCAAAATGTTTCAGCCAAACGATAGCTGGGGAGTTTTAAATTAAGTTTGCATAAAACTGTTTAATAGATATAAGAAGATGTGGTATGAGTGCCAATGAGACAACTCTCTATCCAAGTCACAATTTGTAAACGTAAACCATTATAGGTCAATGTACAGTCTTCAACATGGAGCCTAATTGGCTCACACCAAACAGCAAGCTATAAAGGGCCCAAAAAATGACTAGTGTAAAAACCATTCAAACGGGAAAACCAAGTTTACTAGTAATCAAAATGAAATTTTTGCTGTAACAGTACATATTGATCAGTTTATGCATAATTTATTAATTGTGAATACTTGTAATGAATGTTTTCTATCCACGTTTTTTTTTCTTTTGTTAATCATGTGTAGCCCTTCATCCTATTCCCGATGCTTTTCGTTTAAAATTCCCCACAGCAACCCCTTAATTGAAAATATAAAGCACATATGAGAAATACCTTGACGTATTCCTAACCTCTTTTTATTAGTCAAAGTATAGTCAAATGTAATACATCTATCATATATTTTATTCAAAAATAAATACGTGTGGTACGACTTGTCAATACAATATTTTATACTAATAGAATTTAATGAAAACAATTGTGATAGATGACAAACAAGAATCACCTGACTACAAGCTTCTGGCTTGGAACAGGCACAGATAGATTGTGGCATTGCTAAACATAATTATGCGCAATCGCCCCTCCTCCCCACCTTCTAATCTCGGACGGTGGTGTAACACCACAACTTGAGGACAAATGGAAAATCAGATAGAGGAATTACCTCATAAGATTGGTATAACACTTCAGAAATACAATGTACTGTTTAACAAAGCGATAAAAGACCCACAAAGACAATTTTTTAAGAGCACTAACTTAGTTACTTACTATATTCATTTCTTCCCATCTGTCTATGTTCTAATGGCTTCGATTTTGAAAATGATATAGCATGTTCCAGTTTTGCATGTGTTTGTATATGTAATTATCGAATAAACATGTATTTTTATGTATTACAAATGGTATTAAACAGTGTTTGATTTATGCGTATGTATTTTATTTGTGTGTGTGTGTGGTTACTTTTGTTTTGTCAGCTAGTAAGTTTTGAAAATTGGACACAAACCAGTTGAAAACGAGGAATGAGGTAAACTTGAAACACATGAGGCTCGCCATTTAAAACTGAGATATCATTACACCATACGAAGAGCTGAATAAAGTATCGTTATATCAAGTAAAAAGACTATACAAACAGGATCAAAAATCCATCTGTAAAATGATTAGCAAACTTAATCAAGGTACAAAACAAAAAATAAGAAAAACTTGAAAGAACGACGGGTGCCACATATGAATCAGGATCTGTTTACCTTTCCACAGCTTCTGAGATCATCCCCGGTTTTGGTGGGGTTCGTTTCCCTCGATCTTTAGTTTTCTATGTTGATTCTTGTATACTGTTGTTTGTATTTTGATCTTTTTTGTTCTTTGCTATAACGTCTTCAGTTTATTTTAGACTTATGAGTTTAAAAAACCCTTTGGTATCTTTCGCCTCTCTTCTACTTTTTTGTCATCTAACAGTATATAGATTTATTCTACAATCTACCTTTAGATACTATAAAACAAATACATGTGTACAGATAACACAAATCGATATACGTGTAGTATTCATATATAGTCTCCTGGAATCCTGTTTCTGTCGTAGCGAACGGTTCCATTCAAATAGCTGTTACTATTTGGGGTCATCTTCAATTTCCGCATTTAAGTCAACATAGATAAGAAGATGTGGTAGAAGTTCCAATGAGACAACTCTCCATCCAAGTCACAATGTATAAACAGTTTACAATTATAGGTCAAAGTACGGCCTTCAACACGGAGCAAGTCAATTTCATTCAAAAACGAATTCAACAGATGGGAAGATAAAACTATATATATATATATATATGTAGTAATGCAAAACTGTTAAAATGTAGAATAAAAACGATACTCGTACATTATCGGATTTTTTTTTTTAATTTTACTACAAACAAATAAAACAAAATGTTATAAATGTCATGCGTCCGAAGCGCTTTTCTGGATTTACCTTCACCGGGAACGCTCAAAGCCGAATATTTGAAAGCCATGATGTAAATGAAGGGGAAAAGGGAAGGTTCAAGTCATCTCGTGGGAGAGCTTGCCTCAAGTGTGGAAAGTCTTGGGTTCAATCCCTAGCAGTATCAAACCACAGACTTAATTGTCTTCTCCGCAAACCATTCAGACTGTACGATTAAGAGCAGAGACTGCAAATGTCCACCTCTGAGACAAATTAATGGTCCGTGTAATATTTGGGAGCAACCATTTCAATTCAAGGGGGTGGGGGTTATGGTTTTTTGTCCGAGTCAGAAATTTTTTTTCGCGCAAACAAGCGAGAACATTTTTTTTGGTAGTTTATTGACGCTATGATTCACGCAAAGCGAGAACATTTTTTAGTTTTTCGACGCTGATTCAAATTATTTCTTTCAAAATTTAACACTATAAGGTATAGGGAAAATCTGGATTCATAATATTTTTTTTGTCATCTGCTTGACCACAATATTTTTTTCCATCAAATTGGGGATCAGAATAATTTTTTTTTAGGAAAAAACCATACCCCTACTCCCCTCTTTGAAGTTAAATGGTCGTTCCGTTACATGTCTCGAAAGGACTTTCGTCTTGTGATATTATATCTAGCACGTTAACAATTCTTCTTAGAGAGTATGACAGGTAAATAAGTATTCATATTTCCCAGATTATTGTAACATTAGCACATTTTGTGCAGATATGCATGTTTTATTTGTGACTGGACGTTAAGACACAATCCATCGACCAGTATTACCTTAGGTGAGAAAGCGGTAGCTTTTAGTCGAACACTTAAAATATCAATTCAAATACGTTCTCGTGAAATTTAAGCAAAAAGCTTAAGCACTCGTAGCTTGATCTATTGTTGGTATTAAAAAAGCTCAATACACTGGTACTCGGAAAAATAAGTCCACTTTATGCACCTTTAGCGAAATAAGACAAAAAGCAAGGAAATTAGATTAGATTAGAATTTGCACTGAAAAAAACTAATTCGTGGATAATAACTACGAAAAAAACAAATAAACAGGTTCTACTTTTTTTTATTTTAACTTAGTACTGACATATTCACAGTTTCATCACACAAAAAAGGGGGTGTTTATCATGGTACATGCAACTGTATGTATGTATGTATGTATGTATGTATGTATGTATGTATGTATGTATGTATGTATGTATGTATGTATGTATGTATGTATGTATGTATGTATGTATGTATGTATGTATGTATGTATGTATGTATGTATGTATGTATGTATGTATGTATGTATGTATGTATGTATGTATGTATGTATGTATGTATGTATGTATGTATGTATGTATGTATGTATGTATGTATGTATGTATGTTGTATGTATGTATGTATGTATGTATGTATGTGTGTATGTATGTATGTATGTATGTATGTATGTATGTATGTATGTATGTATGTATGTATGTATGTATGTATGTATGTATGTATGTATGGTATGTATGTATTGTATGTATGTATGTTTGTATTGTATGTATGTATTGTATGTATGTATGTATTGTATGTATGTATGTATGTATGTATGTATGTATGTATGTATGTATGTATGTATGTCCTCTAGTGTATTCATTTCGTTGTTGAAATTAAATAGCTTAACTGACAAAAATATGCCATTTTACTATTGACTTCAACATTTTTTGCAATATCATCATTTGTTTTAAAGAAACAGTTTATACACATAAGACCTATAGTTGCTAACTTCTACGTCAATTGGTCTCTGGTGAAAAATTGTTTCATTGGCAATCATACCACATCTTATTTGTACATGAATAAAAGGAGGTAAATTTAACATACCTCGAGGAGACAACAATCCTTGAGGTCAACATATGGCTTTACAAGTGCATTCAAGTGAAATATGTGTCAATATGATTTCAGATTTATGCAAAAATGAGGATCACAACATTTTTTTTAAAAGCTTCAAATCCTCCCCCACCCCAACGGAATGAACCTTCACTAAGCAGTCATGAAATATACAGAATCATAATTAGAACATTGCAAGCGTCAGTCATGACATATACAGAATCATAATTAGAGCACTGTCAGCGTCAGTCATCACAATTACAGAATCATAATTAGAGCATTGTCAGCGTCGGTCATGACATATACAGAATCATAATTAGAGCATTGTCAGCGTCAGTCATGACATATACAGAATCATAATAAGAGCATTGTCAGCGTCAGTCATGACATATACAAAATCATAATTAGAGCATTGTCAGCGTCAGTCATGACATATACAGAATCATAATTAGAGCACTGTCAGCGTCAGTCATGACATATACAGAATCATAATTAGAGCATTGTCAGGGTCAGTCAAGACATTTACAGAATCATAATTAGAGCACTGTCAGCGTCAGTCAAGACATATACAGAATCATAGTTAGAGCATTGTCAGCGTCAGTCTGTCAGCGTCAGTCATAACATATACAGAATCATAATTAGAGCATTGTCAGCGTCAGTCATGACATATACAGAATCATAATTAGAGCATTGTCAGCGTCAGTCATGACATATACAGAATCATAATTAGAGCATTGTCAGCGTCAGTCATGACATACACAGAATCATAATTAGAGCATTGTCAGCGTCAGTCATGACATATACAGAATCATAATTAGAGCATTGTCAGCGTCAGTCAAGACATATACAGAATCATAATTAGAGCACTGTCAGCGTCAGTCAAGACATATACAGAATCATAATTAGAGCATTGTCAGCGTCAGTCAAGACATATACAGAATCATAATTAGAGCATTGTCAGCGTCAGTCAAGACATATACAGAATCATAGTTAGAGCATTGTCAGCGTCAGTCATGACATATACAGAATCATAATTAGAGCATTGTCAGCGTCAGTCATGACATATACAGAATCATAATTAGAGCAGTGTCAGCGTCAGTCATGACATATACAGAATCATAATTTGAGCATTGTCAGTAGAATCATAATTAGAGCACTGTCAGCGTCAGTCATGACATATACAGAATCATAATAAGGGCACTGTCAGCGTCAGTCAAGACATATACGGAATCATAGTTAGAGCACTGTCAGCGTCAGTCATGACATATACAGAATCATAATTAGAGCATTGTCAGCGTCAGTCATCACATATACAGAATCATAACAAGAGCACTGTCAGCGTCAGTCAAGACATATACAGAATCATAATTAGAGCACTGTCAGCCTCAGTCATGACATATACAGAATCTTAATTAGAGCATTGTCAGCGTCAGTCAGGAGATTTGTTTAGCTTGCATTGGTGATCAGTATCAAATTTGTCACAAATCATACCAGAGCAATAGCTCCTATAAGGCGCCTTTCAGTAATATTACCATTTAGGTGGGTCTTATATTGATGTGTCAGTTTTGCTGTGTAATTTTGAAGAAGCCAATTTACTGTCTCAGTATCATTGTTTTTTTATTGCATTTATACTGTAGATCTTAATTTTTTTTTCTGTTCAGATCTTCTGCCTTTCTATTACATTCAAAAGTTGGCTTGAATTGTCTTGCTATACACACACCCTCTCTTAACAACAGGCCACTGGACGTTAAGCAACCAACAATCAATCAATCAATTTAAAAAAAACAGGAAATAAGTGTCCGACAAATTAAAACTCATAACTGCTGCTGACAATAATATTTGTTAGACCAGGTGATGGCAATATAGCTCCCTAGAGAGGGGATATATAAAACATTAAATTCATATTTAAACCCTAAGAATCCTTTATGTCAAGTTCAGTTCAAATTGGTCCATTTGTTTCACAAGAGAAGATTTTCTTTTAATAATTTGACAATGATGGCTAACTTTTTAGCCTGATGAACCAGGAAAGCCAAGAAATTGAAAGAAAATTGTTAGTAAGTTTTCCTACAATCATTAGGACAAAAGGAATACAGATAATTCCAGGTTTAAGGTTGTGCATGTCTAAATAGTGTCATGAATTAATTGAAATATTTGATTTTTCATTGCCATTTCGTTTTCGTCTTATGAGTCAGTGAGCCAGAATGCAAGCTGCATTAAATATCTGATTTCTGTTTTAAATGAAAAACAACTCAAATGTATAAAAATGCATTTATATTATTTTTTTTTTTCATTTACATACAAAAATTTTGTTTTGTACTAACAAATAACAAAAATATATTATTTTACAAATAAAGATACAAAATTACTATATAGTTAACAGAATAATACAAATATTATCATTTGTAAAAATTGTCTCTCTCTAAATTTTATGTAATCCAACATTGTTAAGTCTGACTGCATAAATCGTTTCTGATTGTATGACATGATCATGCAGAGATTGCTTTTGACTAAATATCTCCCTGCTAAGACAACAGACAATGTTTTGCACTGTACATTAAATCTTTCCATGCCAAAAAATGATCTGATTGTTAGACATGCAAAGATTGTTTTGGACTTAATGTTACCCTGCCAAATCAACAGGCAATACTTTGTTTATCATATCTTTCCATGCAAAAAAAATGGTCAACATTCAATTTGACCTTTTGGAGAATTTCGATATGGTTCAGCGATATAATTACACTAACTTTAGTTTTCTTTTCTCCTGTAAAATGAAAAATAAAAAATTTATATAACAAATATATGCACCAAAAAATTAGTAAGTGTTATTTTTTCCAAGCATTTTCAGAATTTTTTTAAGAGTTTTTAAGCCAAAACTTTATGGCATTTTTTTAAATCAACTTAAAAAAAAAAAATAATATTCCAAGAAAAGTTTGGGAAAACGTATTTTGAAGAAGACAAAACATTTTTTTTTGATATAATAATGATAAATAATCAATTCACAGAATCTCAGAACAGTAAATAAATATAAATTATGATAATCAAATAAAGCTATACAAAATCTAGGTACATACTTTATGTTTTTTTAATCATTATAAAATATTTCACAATGTTAATAAATGTATTCTGACAAAAATACTCATTTCCAATTGTGTGAAAGTCCGCATCTTTATCATTGGTCAATATCATATATGTAAAACATAGGCTCTTCCAGAAAGTTGGAATTCAATTTTAAATATGGCAAATTTTCAACTTAAATATCTAAGTTTTTCTGACTTTAAAGAATAATAATAAAATTGGCTCAACCAAAAATTGTCATGAATATCATATGCATTGTATATAATTTCCAACAATCATAGTCAAGTCATATTTCATCATGTATGCAATATGCAACATGTTATGGGCTATTTTAACCTGTAATACATTAAGATCATAAACAGATAAATTCATAACTTTCTGAACATTATTAAAATATTTGCCACTGGAAATAAAGCAAAAAACAATTAACCAATCATATAACAAGGGTATCTAAGGGAGATAAGTCTTTTAAAATTAATAATGCATTTGTAATAGCCAGTTTCATAAATGCCTTTTTAAAGTGTAAAAAAAGCAGTAAAATAATCTGTGTTACTCAGAAGCTTAAAATATATCTATGAACGCTGTAGATCCAAACATACCAAAGATTTTAAAGACCCAAGGTATACACCTAAATAAATGCTCCACGGTGGCTAAATTAATGAGGGTGTTCATTCCTGTAATCTTTATTCTATTGGAAATTTTTCTCTATTCTTTTTTTTTTTTTGACCATTACTATCTATTCTTTATTTATCATTCAATTTTTTTCTCTATTCCTTTGTGGCAAATATTCTCTATTTTATAAACACCATCCAGACCCTCATTTACACAAGTAGGAGAGATCGATTACAGGAAGGGAATTACTTATTTGGGGTTAAATGTCAACCTTTTTTAAATGGAATATTCAACAAGTAAATAGGTCTCTTCAATTCAACCCATAATATATCTTTAAATCATATTTTCATTGTAAATGCTATTTGCAACAAAAAATGTGCTTCTTTCACAGTCCAACCTTTAGTAAATATACTTTTTGTAAGCGATATACTTTGGTGAGAGCTACGTAAACAAGCAATGTGATATTTTCACAGTCCAACCTTAACAATATAAGTATACTTAATTTTGATAATGTGCTTTTTTTACAGTGCAACCTTAATCAAATTTTATTTTTATCAGGAGTGTTATGTGCACAAGCAAAATGCTATTATATTGCAACCTTTGAACTTCATATTAATTTTTTGAAAGATAAATTAAACATTTCTGAAATGGTTCTCCATGTCCATAAGAAAAAAAATAATCTCATAGAACATAAACACAAAACAATAGAATAGAGTGAAACCTAATTTGAGCCTCTTCTGGATTACAAAATCATGCTTTGTTCTCTTCTTAAAAGTGGAGCTATAATCACACCTAAATGCAAGATAGCCTTTAATACAATTTTATGTGAAATACTTTGCTGGATGTTGGCATAGGAGCACAGAGATAAGGAATAGTATCCACAAATAACAGATCATAAACAGATAAATGTAATTTACACTTAGTAAATTTCATAGTTTGTCGAACAATCTCATTGTAAAATACACAAGTCATTATCGTTACAGTATACTTATAGTATGTCAATACAATATGTCAGTGCTTATGGCAAGAACTATTAATTAAGTATAAATGTACAAAAAAATAAATTTAAAATAAGACCATCATTAAAATATTCCTGTAGTCTCATTCAATTTTTTTTTAATAAACTGTTGACACAGGGATATGTCTGGTCTGTATGTAATTTTGATAATACATGTATTATGCAAAAGTTGAAATTAATGTTGAAAAAATGAAACATGAAAACTATGCAAAAACTTCAAAGTCAATGGACCATCACTGAGGTAATAAAAAGTCATGGAACTGAGATATGCCAATGCATATACAACTGCATACCAAATACTGAAAATCAGGAAATGTTCGCATTTGTCTAATTTTAACTATGTTTGCTGTAGACATTTAACCTGGAAATTTACCTATCACTAACATTTCATTGTTCATTGTATTGCTTTGGACTAGGCCACGAAACATGAAATTCGAACACTTCCAAATCAAAACACTAAATTGCAAACAAAACTGACAGGAAAATAATCTAATACATGTATATGATACAATTTATCATTGACTAATATTATAAGAGGCTCCCCTTAATCTTACCTAATCACAATCTATAACTTTAAAACTCTGAAAAAGTTCCATAGTCAATTAACCATGACAGAGGGAGTGGGTTTCTATAATCTCCATAGAATTGAAATGAACTTAAGGTTGAACTAAACTACCCTGAAATACTATTATTGGTTGATTCCAAAATTTGTAATGTATAAAAAGTTTGTAAGAAGACCAATAATTCATATTTTTTTTAACTGTTCTAACAGATATGGTACAAATCAAATCAATGAAAAAAAAATGTATTTCATTAGTTAATAAACTATAAATATTTATCCTGCAATCAGCCAACTATTGTACAAATAACAGGTACACAAAAAAATTTTGCTTTATTTGTACATGTACAAATAAAGTCTCCTGTTACCCCTCTTCCATCGTGAGCAAGCGGTTATGTGGATATTTCTTTTTGCGTACCAGTTCATTTTGGGGTCCTCTTCGCGGTCCGCGTTAAACTATGTCGATTTCTTTGAAAAATTAGAGACAATGATTTAGATTCTAACAACTAAAGTTTCAAGTGTTGGGTGTAAATTTCAGGATAAAAACAATATATTATGTACATTGTCAGAAAATATAAAATTTATTTGTACCTCTAAATCAACAATAAATAGAACACCATGATAAATACTTATATAAATAAACTATTAGGGATTCATTATCATTCATGGAAAAACTTTTTTTTGTGGATTTGGTGCATATAGGTAAACCATGAATTAAAATGTTCAACAAAGAACAACTTTTCATAAGGCTTGAATGCAGACTTTGGCAAAATCAAAAATCAAAAATCAAATCAAATATCCATCAAAATTACAATTTTTTTCTAAAACCACCCAACATTGATATCCACAAAAAATAAAATGAATTCACAGTATTTGAATCCCATGATTTACATGGTACTAATTTCTAAGTTAACATTACTATTTTCATTTTTCTAAGTGGTCAATGCTTGAAGCACACCAGGGGCTGATCTATCAGTTGGTTAACAAATAATTTATTCTAAACTTTGTAACAAATCATAGACATAATTTTATGCATATATTACAAACAAAAAGTTTTATAACAAATAAATTCTTTCTCATGTCTCAGCTTTGTCAAAACAATCATATTGCACCCATTCTCACAAGTATATATTAAGTACTCAAAATATTGTTCAAAAGTATATATCACAATCTTCAATGTTAACAAGGAATTAATGTTTTCAACATACTATTGGTCCATGAACCACCAATCGAGTCAAGAATAAATTCAAATGAACCAATCAAAACAGTTATATAGCAGCATTTGATGGACCAGGTTGAGGCTCCTCTTGAATATCTATAATAAAAAGATAATAAAAGCTATAGTATCAGAACATTCATGACAAAAAAGCATCAACACATACTGTTTCCAACGATGATGGTTTTTTTAATCCCTGTTAATTCAAAGATCTTTTTTGGTTTATATATATATGATAATAGCAATACACTAACAAAGGCTATTTGTTCAGGCGAAATTTTTGTCAACATAATTTTATATTAGTACCGTTGCGCAAATCTTTAGACTTTTATAATTTTTTCTTATCTGCGCAGTATCGTCTTATTCTAGACAATCCAGTACATATTAAATTTGCTGGTTGGTCCTTTTTGTCGAGCCTGCAACTTTTGTCGCAAAATCGAGACATAGCGATCCTACATTCCGGCGGCGGCGGCGTCCACAAATATTCACTCTGTGGTTAAAGTTTTTTAAATTTTAATAACTTTCTTAAACTATCCTGGATTTCTACAAAACTTGGACAGAAGCTTGTTCATGATCATAAGATAGTATCCAGAAGTAAATTTTGTAAAAAAAAATCCTGTTTATCCGCATTTTACTTATAAATGGACTTACTTTTTCTGCCAGTTAACATTACATTCACTCTGTGGTTAAAGTTTTTAAAATTTTAATAACTTTCTTAAATTATCTTGTTTTTACCAAACTTGACCAGAAGCTTGTTTATGATCAAAAGCTAGTATCTAGAAAGAAATTTTGTAAAAATATATTTCCTGTTTTTCTGTATATTACTTATATATGGACTTAGTTTTTCTTCCACTACACATTAAATACAGTCTGCATTTAGAGTTCTTAAAACATTTATTAGATTCATAAAGTAGGCGAGACACTGTGTTCCGTGGAACCCTTACAAATTTTTTAGTATACTTCTATTTTTATAGACTTTCTCTTTTTATAGAGATTAGACCGTTGGTTTTCGTGTTTAAATGGTTCTACATTAGTCATTTTTGGGGTTAATTATAGCTTGCTATTCGGTGTGAGCCAAGGCTCCATGTTGAAGACTGTACTTTGACCTATAATGGTTTACTTTTACAAATTGTGACTTGGTGGAAGAGTTGTCTCATTGGCACTCATACCACATCTTCTTATATCTATTATATGTATATATATAAATTAATGGTCATTTGGCTTTTGATATTCTTGTAATTAAAGCTATACAATGTTATCTATTTACTTTTCCCCAAATGCTGTGCTTCACCTCAGGGAACCAGTTTTTATACTGGTATTCTTCCAAACAGGGGAAATAATTTGTATTCAATAATAATTTTAGAATCATATTCATGAGGCTTTCAGAAGTGAATTTCTAAAATGCTTCACTAAAGAAAAGACATGAAATAATGGTTTATAACAATGTATTTCCACAGTCAGTGTGTGCAAAACTAGTCCAAAACCTGAAATATATGTAAAATTTGTGGGAAGTGGAGGGAAATTGGGAAAAAGAAAGTGAAAGTGGAATGAAAACCAAACATTGTGAGGACACAGTGCTGCACTCGCAATTTAACATGACCATATTCACTGAACTTTGAAATCTGGGTCAAATTCTTAATGTGGTCTATTCATTAAATAGTTCACTTCAAATTGAACATGTTTTCTAAAGGGGAACTTCTGTTTGGCAGAAACTTTGTTATAAAGAATGCCATAATGTCTGTTCCTGTTGGCACAAATATTCTTAACCCTCTATTCTGTAAGAAACAAATTCTGTAATATTTGTTCCAGGGAAATACTTATATCTCATGACAATGTACTGTAAATTCAGAAATTATTGTGATGATTTTATTATTGCGAAAAATGTGACAGGGTTTAATAGTCGCAATAATTTAAACTAGCATTTTGAAATTTTTTATATGAATTAAACAGGATTTTTCTAAATATCGCAAAAATTAAAATCGCATTTTAGTCTAAAATGATAAAATCACAATAATAAATGCACGCAATAATTTCTGAATTAACAGTAACCAAAGTATGCCATTTTAATGACTGACATCCTATGTTACCAAATTTAAAGAACACATCACCACAAACATGGAATAAGGTTTGGTTATTTTGAGCTAAGTTCTGTGTAACAATAGGCCTCACATTTCTGTTAGCCCAAATATGCTTTTTTCTATTTAATCATAATTCCATGAAAAGGCGTCTGTCTTAAAACAAAAATGTATTCCTTAAAAATGTTAAGGTGGATTTTTTTTTTTTTTTTGGGGGGGGGTCTTAATTAAAATCCATACATACTGCTCTCATAATTTGCACATTTCATTAAAGATAGAGACCAATTGTTATCTGCTACTTCAAAATCTAAGATGAAGGAAGACACGCCAGCCACCTTAAAGCAGTAATTTTATTGGTTTAGGCAATGATTATAAAACCAGAAGCTTTTTAAAGATCCATGTAAGAGATCATAAAGGCAGGAACAATATTTCAATCAGATTGAAGTTCAACATAGTTTATACATGGTTTATATAACAAGGAGAAGTGGGTTGATTGCAAAGAATCCACCAGTGTCCAAAGGATGTGGATGTAAGAAACCATAGATTACATTATGGTCTTCAACAATGAAAAATTTGTACAGCAAAGTCAGCCATGAAAGGTCCGGATATGACAAAATATGGAACAGTTCAAACAAGAAAATATCTGGTAAATTTACATCATTGAATGGAAATAAACATGGAAGATGATAAGTTCTTCATCATCATGTTGATAACATTATTTGGCATGGTTATATATAAAAAAGAAGATGTGGTATGATTGCCAATGAGACAACTCCCCACAAGAGACCAAATGACACAGAAATTAACAACTTTAGGTCACTGTACGCCCTTCAACAATGAGCAAAGCCCATACTGCACAGTCAGCTATAAAAGGCCCTGAAATGCCAATGTAAAACAATTCAAATTGCATGCATTGGGAAAAGTGCAAAACTATAAAGTGTAGGATTGTATGACATATAGTGGAAGTTGAGGATTTATATATGTACCATGTAAGTTGTGGTTAATCCTGAATATCTGTGGAGAAAGTCAGAAATGAATTAATTATTCAAAGAGTAAAATATGAATCATAAATCAGCAGCATAAGTCTGAAGGGTTCACAATGTAATAAAAAAAATATTTCCAGAACAGTTGTAATAAATTTTTTTTTTTAAATAACAAGCTTTATAAAATTGATAGTATATAAATATAATGGAACTCAAAAGTAGAAAAAATGACAGGTCTTTTGAAAATTATAATTTATTAAAAATTTGAACAAAAATGATTCTCAATTTAAACAATGGAATGATTTTTCATCCATTTAACATAGATAGGATTTATCTTTCAAAAACTTGGAAAAAAAACAAGGATTTTACAAGATTTTTCAATAACGGCTTTTTTAAACTATAAAATAAAAGTATGAGAAGAAAAAATAGGGGTTAGCGGGCAAATTATTTAGTGGCCTACATCAATAAAACTAGAGGATTCCTTATATCTAACAAAAATTAAAAAACAAGAGTAGCAAACATCTTTAATTGGGTCATTATCTTAACACATTCAAAGTTTCATTAGTGCTGAAAGAACGTAAGCTTGTCTGAATTTGGAATTAAAATCATATGCATACTTTACACTGCAAATGTAATTTAACGTTACCATCCTTTACTAAAATATCTACCTAAGCCTAAATGAATATGTTTTTTTTCAATTTATTTTGGGGAGGGTTATTAACATTTATATCCTTTTTTTTATTCTTTTCGATCAATGTGGTTAATTGTATATAAATATATACTGGTTATTCGTTTAACATTTTTGCTGTGTTATATGTCCTATCCTATTCTCACAAACTGAAAACCAAATCTCAGTTGAATTATGGGAAGGGAACCTACTCAGATGACAAGGGAGATAACTGAAAACCAAATCTCAGTTGAATCATGGGAAGGGAACCTACTCAGATGACAAGGGAGATAACTGAAAACCAAATCACAGTTGAATCATGGGAAGGGAACCTACTCAGATGACAAGGGAGATAACTGAAAGCCAAATCTAGGCATCATGGAAAGCAGACCTACCCAGATGACATGCAGTGTCCTTGCTAGCAAGCACATTGGAATGGGACTATGCCCCACGGCCATCCTTCAGGCTGCACTCATCTGCCCTCACACTTGAAAACAATCTGCCCTTGTTTTCCTTTCCATAATGGCAACATATTTTGACCAACCATGATTAATTGATTGATTGATTGGTGTTTAACGCCATTTTCAACACTATAATAGTGCTATTGGAGGAAGCCAAAGTGCCGGGAGAGAATCATGACCTTCGGTTGGAAAACTGACAATCCTAGTCAATGAAGATTGGAGTCTGGTGCACCTGCCCCATGCGTGATTTGAAACTCACAACTTCAGTGTTGACAGGCTAGTGATCCAGTAGTTTGACTACTTAGACCACTCCCCTAAGAGGCCCCTCAACCAACCCTGACAAGGGACTATACCAGTTTACTTACTTCCTCTACGACGATTAGCGTTGTCCTCTGGGATCAATCTCTCCTGGTCTTCATCAGGTGGCAAGGGTCTCCGTAAAACACGGGTCAGAATTGTCCTCTTTATAAACTGTATGCCAATATCATTGTATAACATCATTCCAATGATAAGAACAACGAATCCCAATATCTGGAGAGGGATAAATTTCTGCCAGTTTAACGCTAGGGCAGCAACCCAGATAATGATTGTTCGTACACTGTCCAGAACCATTCGTGTGGTAGCACTGATTTCTCTTGTAACACTTATTCCAGCAAAATTGAAGAAAGCTATGCTGAAAATATTCCCTGCAAAATATATTATGATACTGTATTTAGTAGAAAAACAAAGGATATGGGGTATCCATCCATGACACAAAATCAGTTCATGCACCGCAAAAAAATAACAAACAAAAAGCAAAGAAACAGCGCTATTTTAGGTCTGTATAACAAGCAGTCTTTTACCTTTGAGAGAGGTAATTATTATTTTTCTGGTGAGAGCAGCATAAACTTGGTAGCTTTAAACGATATGGTAATTTTTTCGTGTGTATTTTCCCATTCATCAAAAACTGTACACAGTAAAAATTTCACCTGCCCATTGTCATCAAATCATGAAAAAGTCAACGCAAAAAAACCGTGATATGTTTATGTTATACTGTACCTAGGATTGCAGTAAAATTTGCCAGTTTTGTCTGATCTAATTTGTGATTGTTTTACAGGGTAAATACTGTACCTAGGGTTGCTGTAAGAATTTGCCAGTTTTGTCCCAGTTGATGGAAGGCATCAATAGCATCATCTAATTTGTGTGTTGGCAATTCACTGAAGGCTCCGGCATCAATGTGGAAAAACGGAATCAACAAGAGGCCTAGAAGGGTGAATCCAAATATACCTGAAAAATAAAAAAAAAATCTGATGATCAGATTGACTGTTGACTGTTAAATATCCAGTGGCAAAAATTATCAAACCAGCCAAACAACAAGAATGTGTCCATAGTTAATGTACAGATGCCCCACCCACACTATCATTTTCTATATTCATTGGACCCTACAATTAAGGTCAAAACTCTAATTTGGCATTAAAATTAGAAAGATCATATTATAGGAAACATGTGTACTAAGTTTAAAGTTGATTAGACTTCAACTTCATCAAAAACTACCTTAACCAAAAACTTTAACCTGAAGTGGGACAGATGGACGAACGGACGGAAAGACTGACAAATGAACACACAGACTGAAAAACATAATGACCCTAGGTGGGGCATAAAAATATCTGATATTCAATAATAAGAGGCTGCAGTATAAGTGCAATACATATATACAATATGATTATTTAAATGAAACAAAATCAGATTAAGTCGCATATCTCTGGGAAAACTAATCTTTAAATCTTTGAAAAAAATGAGTAAACATGTATATGCTTGAAAGAGTCTGAGTACCTAACCTGAATGTATTTTCATCTTCATCAGTCTTTTCCGCGAATGTGACCTAGCCTACTGAATTAGAATAATCACCTGGTTTGTACTAACATGAGCAACATGATGGGTGCCACATGTGGATCAGCATGTGCTAACCCTTCCAGAGAACCTGATATCACCCCCCCGTTTTTGGTGGGGTTCGTGTTGCTCAGTCTTTAGTTTTCTATGTTGTGTTTTGTGTACTGTTGTTTGTCTGTTTATCTTTTCCGTATTTCGCCATGGATTTGTCAGTTTATTTTTTGTTTATGACTTTGAATTGGCGTTTTGCATTTGCGCCGATCTGCATTTCATTTGTGCCAATTTTTTCTTTCGCTTGCACAGATTTTTTCTTTCATTAGTGACGATTGTGTACAGGTAGATTACAGGTGAATATTATTTCTTATTTATCATTACAAACCTCTTCTGTTAGCCAGTTGTAAAGCATTAAAATCCATAAAAACAGAATACAATGACTGTTACAATTTTCAACGGGTGCAGCTGCCCAGAAATAAGGTGGATAACATGAAGTTGAGCATATATAAGTACTTTACGTAGTCTAAGAATGCATGACATCTGTCATCAAAAGGAGCCTCAGACCTAATGTCAAACGTGAAGCAGTCCTCGATTTCATCTGGGGGAAGGAATGGTAGCCCAAAAAACTGCGATAGCCATTTACCAGTGTCACTTGATTTGTCTTTATACTCTGCACTTAGCTCAACAGACTTGATTTTCCTCACCAGTTCTAAGCCAGATGAAAAAGAGAACAATCTACTTGCAAGGGACAACAGGCAGTTATATACATGTTATAATTGACAATTCATAACATATGTACAACTGGCTAACTGAAGAGGTTTATATTGATAACTAAAAAATAACATTTACCTGTAATTTACCTGTGCACAATCGGCACAAATAAAAGAATCAAATCGGCGTAAATGAAAGAATCAAATCGGCGCAATTGAAAGAATCAAATCGGTGCAAATGAAAGAATCAAATCGGCGCAAATGAAAGAATCAAATCGGCACAAATGAAAGAATCAAATCGGCGCAAATGAAAGAATCAAATCGGCGCAAATGAAAGATCGAAACTTTTTAAAATCGGCGCAAATGTCCCTTTGGTATCTATTGCCTCATTTTTATAAGTATGTCAAATTGACAATAGATATTTTACATAATATGATGTAGATCCTGCTAGTTAGCAACTTTTTACTATATATCTTTTTAAACTATTAATAATGTCATGGAGAGGTTTTTTGACAGATAAGTACTATTCTCCACTTATGAGTTTGAATGTCCCTCTCATATCTTTCACCTCTTGTTTGCCATTCTTGAAAGTTGTAGACTAATCTAAATTCATGACTTACATCTGTTTTTTGTTGATTTTATATTTTGGTCTTAATAGTACAGTTCATCTCCTTTTAATATAGACTTTGCCAAAATCAAACAAAAAAACAAATTATTTTAAATAGTACAGTTCATCTCCTATAAATATAGACTTTGCCAAAAACACAAAAAAAAACAAATTATTTTAAATAGAACAGTTCATCTCCTTTTAATATAGACTTTGCCAAAAACAAACAAAAAAACAAATTATTTTAAATAGTACAGTTCATCTCCTTTTAATATAGACTTTGCCAAAAACAAACAAAAAAACAAATTATTTTAAATAGTACAGTTCATCTCCTTTTAATATAGACTTTGCCAAAAACAAAACAAAAAACAAATTATTTTAAAATTGTTATTCAAGGGCAATAACTCCTACAAGAATAACAAGTTTTTCACAAAATAGGACAGTTTGTTAATCTTGACATTCTGAACATATCTACCTTGGCAGACAGACTTCTCTTCCTATAATGAATTAGTCACAGTAACGGATCCAGAACTTTTTATAAGGGGGGGGCCCCGCTGACTGACCTAAGAAGTGGCCCGCTCCAGTCATGCTTCAGTGATTCCCTATATAATCAACCAAATTTTTCCCACAAAAGGGGGGGGGGGCCTGGCTCGAACTTGATATGTAAGTGGTCATGATAAAACTATATCCCAACTATTAAATCAATATCTTCAAGCATGACAAAAAAAAGTGTCGAAAACTGATTATTTGAGTGAAAGTCTAAAGGACCATTACTCTGCACAAAATAACTTGTCATGATAATACTATATACCAAATTTTAAATCAATATATTCAAGCAAGAAGGGAAAAAGTGTGGAAAACTGATTTGCCAGACTGACAGACAAACAGACAGACAGTCAGACAGACAGATAAACCGAGTGGTAGGGGACTAAAAATAAGTAGATGTGGTATGATTGCCAATGAGACAACTCTCCACAAGAGACCAAATGACACAGAAGTTTTTTGCGTTTCTATTAACAGTACAGTCATTTTTTGTGATGCTTTTAAAAATGCTTGATAATTTTGATACATTTGTACCATTTCTTGTAATTTCTAAATTTCCAATTTTTCATACCTTCCCAGCCTACAGCCTCCAAAGGATGTATTGTAAATCTGTTTATAACTCTTTCCTCGTACACCATCTGTACTGCAACAATAATCTGGGCCATAATAATCAATAAATCACCTGTCAAATACAAATTATAGATTGATTGATTCTTGTTTAATGTAAGATTGCAATTAGCATCTAAATTCAGGGTTAAACATATTGTGCTGTTACATAAAAAAAATATACTTATAGATTGTAAATAATTGACAATTGCGTTCTATTGGTAAAACTTTAAATTCAAATTACATATTTCGCTTGCATTTCTATATTCTAAACTCTTGAGTCTAGAGTTGGCTGTCACGGAATAGAAGTTCCTTCATAATATAAGTTCCAAATGGAAACAATATTCTGGAATATTATTTCCACTGGAATAAATATTACAGTAAATGTTCCTAACGGAATAAACGGTATAGATTATTTGTTCCAACAGATGACATTGTTTATAACAAAGATTCCAGTGGAACTTCTGTTAGGCGGAAAAAATATACGTTGACATTCCAAAGGATTTGACCTCCGAAATTTGGCACACAATATTGGTATTCATGAGTGGAAAAAAAAGATTTTGCAAAATCATTTCGACGACTTTTTTTTTTTTAAACAAAGGAAATCTTTGAAGTTTAAAATTTTCAGAACTACATCTTTCTCATTTTTATACAACAAATATTCTCATTTGTGATGATAAATTATAATTGTTGTAAGGGGAATGACTCAAAATCTTTTAGTAAATTTATCAATTTCATCGAGTGTGATATGATATTTATCCACAAGAAACAGTTAAATTTTCAAATTTAAAAAGCAAGGCTCAATAAAAAGTATTTTAAATTTAACTGTCGAGGGTGGATAAATATCGTATTGCACAAGATTTGGTGATGGAATCTGTATCTCTAAAGATTTTTAAAAGATATGCAGACAAATTTAATCCTTCTTTTGAATGATCTGCAAACAGACATTGTTCTTTTTATGTGACATCATCGGGCATGGTCGCCTTTTTTCATGACGTCACAATAGGAAATTCAGAGGAAAGTAAGAAAATTTGACATCATATAGTACACATGTAATAATAATAATAATATGATAATAATAATAATAATAAATACTATATTTATAGAGGGTAAAATCAGTTAGTACAATACTAATCTCCCCTAATGCCCTTTGAATACCTCAAATATAACAACATAATCGAATTTTGACCAATGAAGAACTGAGATCAGACGAACCGCCCATGATTAAATAAAAATAATCAACAGGTTAGGAAGAGGATAAATAACGTAAGAATTAGAGAAATGTACATACATGCCAAAACATAATATATTATATATTTTCGTTCTACCTAAACATGTGGGTTATCAACCTCTACTATGTATTGGAAATCCTAGATTCTGAAACTAAAAATGTATTTCAAAATGTAAATTAAGGTGGTACCAAACACCTTGGCTAAAATTAATTTGGCTCGTTTTAATTTTCTTAAAATTTTGACAAAATATTTAATTTGACCCTTTGACAGAAATATATAAATTTCAAATGTTGAACCACACTTTATCGGGAAAATTTCATTGGATCAGGAACAAATATATATATTGATATACTGTTTCCAGATTGGATATATAGCAGTTTGACAAACACTAATTTTGATCATTGAGAAGCTTAATATTTCCTTAACAATAGAATGTGATTAAAATATTCAGCTGATTTTTAGAGTTATCTCCCTGTAGTGTTATGTACCATCTTTAAATTGTAATAGGGTGGATTTAAATTGAGATGATTGTAATGAATCTATTTATATCTGACAGATTTCCCCATGTCAAATTTAGAATATAAATTTAATTTAGCGAATGGATTTATGTTTAAATGAAAATATCAATGCATAATATCATTTTAATCTGTGGAGCCTTTAAAGAGGTGTCTATTACAATTTTTATTTAGATAATAAACAATCTGTGAATAAAGTAGAAGTTATAGAGAAGATTCAGAAGCTTTTAAATTAAATCATCTTTATAAGTCTAATCTAAATAATAAGTTTGAAACATATTTTCATTTATTCTTCATCCAATTTATAAGTTTAATCCTACATATTCTTAAACACATTAAAGTTTTCTACTTGCAAATTTTTCTAATATTTAATTTTCTAATATATTAGTTGTGGAAATTATTTAGTTTTATTTTCATTTAGATATCTCTCTTCATAAAATAAGCTATTGTGTGTATCATCATTGACTTTAAGAAACACACTGAAATATAATTGTTTTTCAATTTATCTATATGCTTTTATGCAAACGAAGCTAGAACAAATTTAAGACTTTTTACAATCATTCCATACAGTAAATATAGTTGACCTATTGCTTAGAGTATCTGATTAACTAAACAAGAGTGCACATGCTGAAATGTCTCGCCTTCTTTACTAATCATTGATATTATGTTGATAGACCTAAATATAAAGCTTTATTACAACTGTCACATAAACTTAACATTAACCAAGTAAACTAAACATTGACCAATGAACCATGAAAATGAGGTCAAGGTCAGATGAACCATGCTAGGCAGGCATGTACAGCTAACAATTCTTCCATACAACAAATATAGTTGACCTATTGCTCATAGTTTAAGAAAAACAGACAAAAACACAAAAACTTAACACTGAGCAATGAACCTTGAAAATGAGGTCAAGGTCAAATAAAACCTGCGTGACTGACATATAGATCATAAATTATTTCCATACACCAAATATAGTTGAACTATTGCATATAGTATTAGAAAAAAAGACCAAAACTCAAAAACTTAACTTTGACCACTGAACCATGAAAGTGAGGTCAAGGTCAGATGACACCTGCCAGCTAGACATGTACACCTTACAATCATTCCATACACCAAATATAGTAGACCTATTGCATACAGTATAAGAAAAACAGACCAAAACACAAAAACTTAACTTTGACCACTGAACCATGAAAATGAGGTCAAGGTCAGATGACACCTGCCAGTTGGACATGTACACCTTACAATCATTCCATACACCAAATATAGTAGACCTATTGCATACAGTATAAGAAAAACAGACCAAAACACAAAAACTTAACTTTGACCACTGAACCATGAAAATGAGGTCAAGGTCAGATGACACCTGCCAGTTGGACATGTACACCTTACAATCATTCCATACACCAAATAGTAGACCTATTGCATACAGTATAAGAAAAACAGACCAAATCACAAAAACTTAACTATAACCACTGAACCATGAAAATGAGGTCAAGGTCAGATGACACCTGCCAGTTGGACATGTACACCTTACAGTCCTTCCATACACCGAATATACTAGACCTATTGCTTATAGTATCTGTGATATGGACTTGACCACCAAAACTTAACCTTGTTCACTGATCCATGAAATGAGGTCGAGGTCAAGTGAAAACTGTCTGACGGGTATGAGGACCTTGCAAGGTACGCACATACCAAATATAGTTATCCTATTACTTATAATAAGAGAGAATTTAACATTACAGAAAATCTTAACTTTTTTTTCAAGTAGTCACTGAACCATGAAAATGAGGTCAAGGACATTGGACATGTGACTGATGGAAACTTTGTAACATGAGGCATCCATATACAAAGTATGAAGCATCCAGATCTTCCACCCCCTAAAATATATAGCTTTTAAGAAGTTAGCTAATGCCGCCGCCGCCATAGCCGCCGCCGGATCACTATCCCTATGTCGAGCTTTCTGCGACAAAAACTAAAGAAAAATTATCATTAACCAATGAACCATAAAAAGGAGGTCAAGGTCATGAGAAAAAATATGATTTTGAAAAAACAAAACAAGAATGTGTCCAAGGTACACGGATGCCCCACCCCACTATCATACTTATGTTCAGTGGACCGTGAAATTGGTGTCAAAACTCTAATTTGGCATTAAGATTAGAAAGATCATATCATAGGGAACATGTGTACTAAGGTTCAAGTTGATTGGACTTCAACTTCATCAAAAACTACCTTGACCAAAAACTTTAACCAAAAACTCTAACCTGAAACGGGACAGACGGATGGACGGAGGGACGAACGAACGGATGCACAGACCGAAAAACATATGGCCCCTAAGTGGGGCATTAAAATAAAATACAAATAATAGATAAAACACAAAAACAACTTCTTTCTACCAGCTGTACATGTAACCTTTACCTACCAGCTGTACATGTAACCTTTACCTACCAGCTGTACATGTAACCTTTACCCACCAGCTGTACATGTAACCTTTACCTGCAATTATTCCATTTGTATCTTTGTTCTTGTCAGTGTTGAAAATGATATCCGACACACCAACGACGGCCAAACCAACGATTACACTGACTATACCAATCCACATCTGGGCTCGGATGGTTCTACCAAGGAAAGCTACCGACAGCAGGGCAGTGAAGATTATAACAGCACCTGAAATAAACACAAGAAACTGTATAACAAGTCAAATTTTTTTGGCATATTTATGATGACATATAACTTATTCTAATATGACGTTCTTCTTTCGCTTTTGAAACAAAGCCATGTTCTAATTCCAATAAAACATGGGCTGAATGTGATTGGCATCACATTTGAAATTGCAACGTCAGTTGGTTTTTTTTCAACAAAGCCGGAGATCAAAATGGACATTTGTGTTCATGTTTTCGCTAGGAAATTAAATAAAATCATTCTAAAAGTAAGTTAAAATGTATCTTTTCATTTTTTATCGTGAAACGATTGAAGCTGTTAAGGTTTTGGCTTCATCAAATCAAAATGGCTGCCTTTCAAACGTGTATTATATCTAGTTCGCCTTGGAGTGCAATATTTCTAAATTTTCCTATTTAAGAATCGAAATAATTCTATCATGCCATGCTGTATGTTCATTTTAACATTGGTAGGCATTATAATTTGTCAACATTTTATACCTTGCTATTGACAAATATAATGCCTACCCATGTTAAAATGACCATAGAGCATGGCTTGAAAGAATTATCTCTTAATTAAATCCAACTTACTAATTTTTTTTTTTTTTTTTCAATTATTATTTATTTGTTTTGTTTTGTTTTGTTTTGTTTTATGTTTTTTGTTTTTTATTTTGTTTTTGCTTCTTTTTTTTATTCTTTTTTTTTTGGGGGGGGGGGGGGGGAGGGTGTCATTTCTTTTGTATTTAAAGTTTTTTATGAGTTCTGGGTAGAATAATGCAACTACTGCCACTGTTTACTTATTCTTTTAAGCTGGTCATTCTTTCATGTCCTTTGTTAAAACATTTCTTATGCCTTTTTTTCATTTTTTCCCTCAAATTTTCCTAGTAGGATATGAAAGATGTGGATATTGATGCCATAACAGAGTCAGTTTGGAACTTCATACATGGAAAAGACAATTGATCTTTAAACTTAGAGACCATACAGGATACAGTACATTTTAATATTTTGCATGTATGTCCTTGGTGGTCAGCTGTTTCCATTGACTTTCACACCAAGTATACCTACTTACTGTAAATTCAGAAATTATTGCATGCATTTATTATTGCCATTGAGGAATAATTCACAAAAATACAAGATTTAATTACTGCCATTTCTGAAAATGTTTCATACAAATGATGCTATTAAGGATGTAGTCATGTCAGGTTGATGAATTTTTGTCAGATGTTCTGACTTCTTTGGTTTTTCAAACATTATAGGGTAAAATATTTTGCCCCATATCATCAACTTTTCTTTTCATAGAAGACTTCAACAGCTCATAAAAAGGTCATTACCAAAAATTTAAGCAGATTCTAGATTTTTTCTTGCGATTTGAGACCCAAATAATGCCAATGCTAAATATAAGGTAAAAGTCAGAGTCAGCCTTTTCGTGCCATTTTTTAAAAATCAAATATTGCAAAAAGGAGTTCCATAACCTATCAATATTTTTAGCTTATTTTATTTCTATACTAATGCACTTATAGTATCAATTTTAAATTCTAGATTTTTTTTAATTTCACCTAAGTTCATCCTTAAAATCTAAAATGTGAGTTTTATTTTTGAGTAAGCTATCCTTTTGCAATGATAAAATGTTTTGTACCTTAAAATCTAAAAGGACCTTAACAGAATACAAAAGATTTTTCTGGGTTGTTGTTTGAGCTATATTTAAACTTATCTCTCCACATTCCCCCTCCCTCTTAAACGACTTTTTAGTATAAAACCTTCTTTTGCTGCAGTATACATATATAACTCTTAATGTATTGACCCAGATATTAAAGTGAAATCTTGCAGTTTACATTTTCCTACTAAATCACTTAATTATTAAGGTGAAAGAGAATATAAAATTATGACTTAACAATTCTATACATTAGGGAAATGATTCATTATAAGTGATTGAAGTGTTTTATCATACAATAGACTCTCAACATCTCTGACTGATGGGTAACATTCTTCTTGATCAACTTTTCAATGAAGTGGAGATAACTCCAGCTGTTGACATTATTTTTTCTTGTAAACATATCAATATAAAAATTAAAGAACCTTAGTGAGCGCGCTCACATACCCCACATCCCCACATTGTCATTGGAGAAATAAAATATATGTAAGAAAAAAAATATGTATAAGAAAAAAAAATTGAATCATAATTTCCTGTCAATATGCAGATCTACATAGTATGTCCTTATTATCTAAAAAGTTTCATGAAATTCTGTTGTGTGGTATCAGAGGAGTTGCGATGACAAACTGTTGCAGTAGTACATTGAAGCAAATAAGTTCAAAGGGGCGTAACTCCTAGAAAAAAAATTAAATCGCAATTTCCTGTCGATATGCACATCTACATAGTATGTCCTTATTATCTAAAAAGGTTTCATGAAATTCTGTTGTGTGGTATCAGAGGAGTTGCGATGACAAACTGTTGCAGTAGTACATTGAAGCAAATAAGTTCAAAGGGGCGTAACTCCTAGAAAAAAAATTGAACCGCAATTTCCTGTCGATATGCACATCTACATAGTATGTCCTTATTATCTAAAAAGGTTTCATGAAATTCTGTTGTGTGGTATCAGAGGAGTTGCGATGACAAACTGTTGCAGTAGTACATTGAAGCAAATAAGTTCAAAGGGGCGTAACTCCTAGAAAAAAAATTGAACCGCAATTTCCTGTCGATATGCACATCTACATAGTATGTCCTTATTATCTAAAAAGGTTTCATGAAATTCTGTTGTGTGGTATCAGAGGAGTTGCGACGACAAACTGTTGCAGTAGTACATTGAAGCAAATAAGTTCAAAGGGGCGTAACTCCTAGAAAAAAAATTGAACCGCAATTTTCTGTCGATATGCACATCTACATAGTATGTCCTTATTATCTTAAAAGGTTTCATGAAATTCTGTTGTGTGGTATCAGAGGAGTTGCGATGACAAACTGTTGCAGTAGTACATTGAAGCAAATAAGTTCAAAGGGGCGTAACTCCTAGAAAAAAAATTGAACCGTAATTTCCTGTCGATATGCACATCTACATAGTATGTCCTTATTATCTAAAAAGGTTTCATGAAATTCTGTTGTGTGGTATCAGAGGAGTTGCGATGACAAACTGTTGCAGTAGTTCATTAAAGCAAATAAGTTCAAAGGGGAGTAACTCCTAGAAAAAAAATTGAATCGCAATTTCCTGTCGATATGCACAACTACATAGTATGTCCTTATTATCTAAAAAGGTTTCATGAAATTCTGTTGTGTGGTATCAGAGGAGTTGCGATGACAAACTGTTGCAGTAGTACATTGAAGCAAATAAGTTCAAAGGGGCGTAACTCCTAGAAAAAAAATTGAACCGTAATTTCCTGTCGATATGCACATCTACATAGTATGTCCTTATTATCTAAAAAGGTTTCATGAAATTCTGTTGTGTGGTATCAGAGGAGTTGCGATGACAAACTGTTGCAGTAGTTCATTAAAGCAAATAAGTTCAAAGGGGAGTAACTCCTAGAAAAAAAATTGAATCGCAATTTCCTGTCGATATGCACAACTACATAGTATGTCCTTATTATCTAAAAAGGTTTCATGAAATTCTGTTGTGTGGTATCAGAGGAGTTGCGATGACAAACTGTTGCAGTAGTACATTGAAGCAAATAAGTTCAAAGGGGCTTAACTCCTAGAAAAAAAATTGAATCGCAATTTCCTGTCGATATGCACAACTACATAGTATGTCCTTATTATCTAAATAGGTTTCGTGAAATTCTGTTGTGTGGTTTGAGAGGAGTTGCGATGACAAGAAACAGGACTGACGGACTGACGGACTGACAGACGGACGGACGGACGGACGGGTCAAAAACATTATCGTTGCGTGGGGTATAATAAGGATATGTGGTATAATTGCCAATGAAACATTACTATACACCAAGGTTCAAATAAAATGGATGTAAGACATTTTAGGCAACTGTACGGCCTTCAACAATGAGAAAAACCGATACAGGTATAGTCGGCTATAAAAGGCCCCAACATGAAAATTATGAAACAATTCAATTGAGAAAACTAACAGCCTAATTCATAACAAAACAATTTAAAAAAAGAATAAAAATATGACAGACATGAACCTACGACAACCACTGAACTACGAGCCTGACTTGGGACGGGCACATAAAGAATGTGGCAGGGTTAAACATGTTTATGAGCGCTCAACCCTCCCCCTAACCTGGGACAGTGGTGTAACAGCACAACATAAGAACAAAAGATAATAAACTGCTTTGCTGAGCGCAGCTAGATACGCCCGCAGAGGTCCAACCCTGAACAGTTGGGGCAAAAATGGACACAATATTCAAGCTTGATTCAGGTCTGAATTTGGATTGTAATTAAATATTTGACATATTATAGGTGTCTGAATAAATGTATTCAAAGAACTTGAAATTGGTTATATGAATTGAATTTATGTTCAATTAAAGATTTCTTGCTGTTGTGCAATACTTAGTAAATCTGTTGTCAGACTATAAACAAATAAAGTATAATTAATTCTCAATGTCATATTAGAAATTTATGAAAATAAAAAGGGAGCTTACATCAATAGATATAAACAATTCACCAAAGTTTCATGAGAATTGGTGACAGCATTTTTGAGTTATTGTCAGAAAACTGGAAAATCACCCCTTTTTAATGAATAAAACCCCATAACTCAGAAATGTAAAATGTAAAATTTATAAAATTCTAAAGGGAGCTTACATCAATACATACAAACAATTCACCAAAGTTTCATAAGAATTGCTGAAAGCATTTGTGAGTTTTTGTCTGATAACTGGAAAGTCCCCCCTTTTTTTATGAATAAAACCCCGTAACTCGGAAACGTAAAATCTAAAATTTATAAAAATCAAAAGGGAGCTCATGTCAATAGATATAAACAATTCACCACAATTTCTTGCAAGTTGGTGAAAGCATTCTTGACTTATTGTCCGAAAACTGGAAAATCCCCCTTTTTTTAATGAATAAAACCCCAT